AACATACGTTACTCGTTACTTACTATGCCAATGTTCGTTCAATTTTGGAATACGGTTGCGTGGTCTGGGCGGGAGCGGCCAAATCCCACACAGAGCGGGTTGATCGTGTGCAGCACAAATTCTTGTTGTGGTTGAATAGCCACACATCCTCGCCATGTTCCTCTCTGTCCTATCCTTCTCTTCTGCATCATTTTGGTATTACATCACTGTCTGTCCGTAGAAACCAACACGACCTGCTCTTCCTGAGGAATATCCTGGCCGGTAAAATCCGTTCTTCTAACCTCCTTGGTAGATTTCCGCTCCATGTGCCGCCGCGATCAACCCGCTCACAGCGGCTCTTCGCCGAGCTTCCCTGGCGCGTACGGACCGTCGGGGATGGTTTTCTGCGCCGACTACCGAGGGCCATGAACGTGTTTTTAACTAGAAGTCCCGCTGATGTTTTTAGCGATAGTTTCTACACTTTTAGAGGACACGTTTTAAACTATGCGAAAGGGATGGAAGCGGCGTGATCGCATCCGCTGTGCTTTTAGTGTTTCTTGTTTACTAGGCTTTTTAGGCTATTATTTATTTATTTACATCTCCTGTGTTTATAACCCTACGTGTTTTATCTTCAGTGTGTGTGTGTGTGTATGTAGGTGTGTGTGTGTTGTGTGTGTGGGTGTGTGCTGTTTTACTGTCTCTTTGACTTCGCCTTTTAAGTGGACTTATTGTCTGTTGGCGATTTTAAATATACAAATACAAATACAAATACAAACATGTATAATATACCTGACTGAACGCGGAAAAGCCAGTTTACTGGAAGTGTTCTAAATACATCTGATTCTGATTCTGATTCTGATTCTAAAACGCAATTAATTTAGATGACCTAGGTTGACCTTGACCCTGACCTTGACATCTGTACATCGTCGAACAACATGTTCCATGATAGGTGGGAGGTAAGACTGGCAAAAAAGGCCGAAATCCAGGTGCTAAAAGCTCACAAGGCCCACAGCCAACGCAAGATGTTGAGAATTGGTCATTTGGGTCATGACATGACCTGAAAAACAAGGTCATATCGTCAAAACCAAGAACGACAGAAACTTGAAATTTTCAGTGAACATCAAGAAAGGATAGAGCAGCTATACGAAAAATCAGGCTTCTAGCTTAAAAAATGTTGAGTGCAGAGCAGAAAGACTACCTGGGGGGTGGGGGGTGGCACCCCTCCATGTGCGGGCGAGGGTTAACAGACCAAAACGCGTTTCGAATAAACCGTCATCATCTCAGTATGATAGAAACCAAGATAGAAACCGTAGTTGTGCGTATATGTTACGGGTCATATGCTAACTTGGGCAGTATGCAAACTGCCCGGGCAGTATGCATACTACCCAACAGCCCGGGCAGTATGCATACCGCCCGGGTAGTATGCATACTACCCGACCCCTTGGGCAGTATGCATACTACCCGACCCCTTGGGCAGTATGCATACCGCCCGGGCAGTATGCATACCGCCCGGGCAGTATGCATACCTCCCGGGTAGCATGCATACCACCCACCTTTCTTCTCACGGGCAAGATGTTTACTCGGGCAGTATGTTGACTACACTTCGTGAGGCTTGTTAATGCAATAACTCGCGTATATATGTGAATGACAAACGTTTTAACCTTCCGGGTGGTGGTGGGGGGGGGGGGCATTTTTTGTCCCCTCTTAGTTTTTTTTCGATATATCTCCAGAATTCCGCTGCGCCGATTGCCACCAAACTTTCAGTACCCTCCCGGGATCGTAGCTATTTCACATTGTGACCAAAATTTTCCAAAGGCTATCATAGGTTGGCCGCTAATGACGTCAGAGTGACGTCATTTCTGCCATTTTCGACCCAAAAAAGGTTTCGCGGGAAGAGCTGTCAGGCCTACAGCTTTATCGATACAGAAAATGTTTAACCCTCGCCGGACCTATTGGTTTTCTACATACGCGCCGGCCGAGGGGGGGGGGGGGCGGGTACGACCCCCCCCCTCGCCGTTTCGCCCCTGGTGGAGCTAGCGCGTCGCGGAAAAAACGAGCGTGTGCGCCGTTACGAGACGCAGAGATTGGTACCCGATTTTAAGGTCCTAGGTCAACCGGTGATCTCTGAGGTCAGGTCAAGTGCCCCAAGGTACGGTTCAGTTTTTGGTGAATAACTTCGCCAAAAATGGCCGTAGAGCCGCGATTTTGGCAGCATCATGTTCGCCTCGCTCAGGCGCGTCGACTGATATACTTTTTGTCCGGGTCAGGTCAACTTGGGGTGTTGACCTCAGGTCAAGGTCAGGTCAGCACCCCCAGGTCACGAAGTTGGTCGAAAGAGGTCATGTCGCATATCATTCGATTCGGCAGGCCTTCCTGAGTCCATTGGTGGCTTTCCCGACTCGCTAGCTCCATTTGATCAAGAGTTATTGACGAAAAGCTAATATGACCTTGATGACGTCATAAATGACGTCACGCAAGGTCAACATTGCAAAAATGACGCATCTAACCTTGCAAGGAGTGCATCAAATCACGATTCTGTGTGCTTGAGATAGTTTGAGATCGTTCCCGGCGCCAGAATAGCAGTTTTCATTTTTTCCCATTGACTTATAATGTCACGAAAATGACCTGACCTCATATGACCTTTAGGAAAAATCCGAGATATAAAAGTTGTGGGACTCATAATGGATACTAGATCCTGCAAGTTTCGATTCCCTGTGACATCTCCTCTGGCAGTGAGGGCGTTGCGAAGTTGCGACATCTGAAGACCGTGCAGAGGTTCACTTATGACGTCATAGGTCAGTGACCTGACCTGACCCAAAAATGCAGTTGGTGTCAAAAGATGCGGCTTGGATCAAAGGTCAGGTATGCCAAGTTCAGCTCTCTATCGCCAGCGTGTTCGGAGCTATCGCGAAAAAAAACCCTATGGGGGGCGGCACCCGCCCCCCCCCCCCCCCTCGGCCGGCGAGGGTTAAGAATAGGTATAAAAGGTGTCGAATTAGAGGGCTACAAAACTGCTATTTCGGATTTTTAAAATTTTTGGATTTTGACCGCCCCCCCCCCCCCAATCAAAAAAGTAATTTTTTGAATATAATAGGCAAAAAATCCAAAAAGTTTTTTTTTAATTTCGAAAAAACGGAAAATATGTGATAGTCCCTACCGCCTTCTATCCACATACCTTGAGATTGATTCCTCTTTTTTGGCAAAGTTATAGCGAAAAAAGAACCGTTCAAAACTGATGACGTCAAATTTTGTCGTCGTTTCATTTCACTCAGTTCACGCTTCACAATGACAGGTGACTTGTTGACCACTGGTTATTCAACAATGGAATTGGGAAAAAATAAGTTCAACACTTTATTCCAATCCTCATTCCATCCTACGATCGATCAATCACGTTTGAATACAAAAATTCTTCTCCGTCGATCTATTGTTATCTAGAGAGCCATTTATATTCTTAATGTGGACATGGATTACACAACTTTAAGTCGGAAAGCGGGCAGTATGCAAACTGCCCAAGCTTTTGGGCGGTATGCATACTGCCCAAGGGGTCGGGTAGTATGCATACTACCCGGGCGGTATGCATACTGCCCGGGCTGTTGGGTAGTATGCATACTGCCCGGGTAGTTTGCATACTGCCCAAGTTAGCATATGACCCGTAACATATACAAATCAACATTCGAAAATATGACGCTCTCATTACGTGCTATGCAAGTTAACCCGCGCGGGGCTGGGGGGGGGGTAAATTTTACCCCCCTCGCGAATTTTTGCGATATCTCAAAAACGGCGGCGCGCAGCGCCGCCAAACTTTCAGTACCTTTTATCAATTAGACACGTTCCCTGAAAATTTGAGCGAAATCCGTCGGAAAGTTTTTGAGAAATTGACGTTTTAGTGACGTCATGTTCGCCATTTTCGCCTCAAAAACGGCAAAAGTTCAAACGCCGGTAACATCTTCATTTTTAAAGGAATCAAGACGTAACAAAAAAGGTTATACGTAATTTTACTTTGTCTATCAAATGGTTATCTCGGTTTTTTGAAAATTTTGGATTTTGGCATAATTTTTTTTCAAAAAACTGACTTTTTTGGGAAAATCATTATAAAATCCAAAATTTTAGATCTATCGAAAAAACCGGAATATATGTCAGAGAAGTGGTCTATGTGCACCTACATACCAAATTTTAGAAGAATCGGTTCAAAAATGTGGGAGTTATTCAAAATTTTATGACGTCACGACACACAATTTTTTGAAAAATGACTTTTTTGGAAGTTTTAGACCTCGTACGGAAACAAAAATAGCACCATTCGATTCGCCGTGAAAAACTGCATCAGATAGACACCTTTTTAGGCCTTAACAACCAACTTCAAAATTTGACCTCACTTGACCTGACCTTGACCTGACCTCGACCTGAAATTCATCCAGAGGTGGTCCATATCATTTAATGAGTGTGCCTATTGAATTCTATGAGTAAAATGACCCATAAAACATGTGTCGCACATGCCCTTTTCTATATTTTGTTTTTTGGTGACCTGACCTGACCTGACCTGACCTTGACCTTGACCTCTGAATGATATTGTATGCAACGAATATTGTCTTGGTAGCCTAAGAACACGTTTTGGGCGATCAGTCTCAGTCCATGACTCCATTCTTCGGCAACTACGGTGCAAGGCCGATACTGTAGAAACTTGCAATTTGTACCCTTGACCTGACCTTGACCTTGACCTCAAACTTTAAATTAAGTACATGTTTTTAGTAGTTCGTGATGAGAGCTTTCGATTGGCGTTTGAATTTTCCAAATCGGACCATTAGTTCGGGAGATAACAGGGGGGGGGGTAAAATTTACCCCCCCCCAGCCCCGCGCGTTCGGCTGGAGACCCCAGCCCCGCGCGGGTTAAGGTTACCTACGTAAAGCAAAAACACGCACATCAGATATCGCGCTCCCATACCCCCACCGAACCGCGAGAAGACGTACGGGAGACTTGACGTTATTTATGTTGATGATGCTGCGCGAATTGTGTGATTTGATGTGTATTAAAAGGCGCCACACACATTGACAACGCAGGAAAATGCTGAGATACAATGGCACGGAATACGGTGCGACCACGCTCCCGCGGCCGGAGAACAAGAACTATCCGCCGTGTCGGGAACGCGGTTTACATCACGCATGTGGCGCGACCACGCCCCCCGCAGCCGGGTGGCGAACTCAGCGCACCCGCTGTGTCGGGGAAGCGCGGGCAAACGCGCGACTCTTGGATAACATATGAACACAGTGACGACCGCGCAACTATTGCGCGACCACGCCCCTTGTCGTTCCTCCGCGGCCGGATGACTGAGGCCACCCGCCGTGTCGGAGGACGCTCAAGGAAACAGGTCGATGTGAATAAACATAACACAGGAACCAGCGGCAGTAGAACATAAGCACGCAAATGTGGCGACTACGCCACCCGCGGCCGGGGGACGCAAGCCACCCGCCGTGTCGGGGGACGAGGCCAACAACGAAACACAAAACAAAAAACGGAACGCGGCGCTTGGCTAACCATAAACCGCCACACGAAAACCCTGGGACCCGGCGGTGAGCACTGGATGGGTGACGCCAGCTCGCGCGATACGCTGTGCGCGGCTGAGCTTGTGCGGCTGACATACCCGTCTCCGCGGCCGGGCCCGTCCCGGACGCCGCCGTGTCGGAAGGACGGAAATGTCTGTGCGAAGCGGAACTGGCACGACCTCAGTGGGGATGCTGACGAGCGGGGGGAGCGGCCAGCTGCGATAGTGAGACGGGGAGCCGCAGATACCGCCGAACGGCCGATGACGCCCATCGGCCGGCCTCCTTGAGCTGCAACTCGGTCATGCCGAGCTGAGCGCCGTATGAAGCGCCGCCTATGCGGAAGCAATGCCCGGCAAGTCGCCGAACATCTAGCCCCGCCAGGCGCCCCGCCTGTCTCACGACTTGGGTGAGCTGTCGGGTAGTAATGGGACGGCCGCTGCCCGAGAGGAACAGGAAATCGCTGTGGCGGCCGACCGGGCGCACGCTCAGAAATTCCTGCACCGCACGCACAGGGCAACAGGCCAGATCAGGGCGAGCCACAAGCTCGGTAGTGAACGGCACCGGCGACGTTTTGGATGAGGGAATGGTGAGCGACAAGCCGTCCCGGTGCACACTTACGTGGTGCACACGGACGGTGTGGGCGGGGTTGGCACCCAACACGACTTCTCCGGGCCGCAGCATGCCGAAAAAAGCCAGGGAGCATATGGCACGAAAGGCGGCCCTGTCGACAGCGGGCAGCGGCAGTCGGCTCACCGCCGCGCACAGGCGGCCGAGCTCGTCGAGGGTGACGGCAGTACGCGTGTCTCGTGATGGACGCAACCGCCGAGCCCCGGCGAGCAATTTGCGCACCCGAAAATCGGCGGTGGGATCAGCCAAGCCACGGATGCGGTGGCCGTAAGCGATCGCCGAACAATGGCTGGCTAATGCTGAGGCCCCACTGCCAGCCCGGAAACAGGCCCCGATGAAGTCGACCACCGTCGCAGTGGCGATTGGGAAGAGGGGAATGGCCGGGCCGATGCCGATAAAATGGCGGACGCGGTCCCACGTCCCGCGGTAAGCACGCGCTGTTGCCGGTGCCAAGGCCGCTGCCTCCAGTGCAGTCACGTCTGCAGCATAGCGAAGTCGGCCCAGTCCCATGATGTCGGCTCCGCGTCGGCCGACGGCCGCACTTCCCGGAACACCTGCGTGAGACCCCGGGAGAGAGCGTCAGGAGCGACGTTCCGAATACCGGGGACATGGTTAGCACGCACTAGAATATTGTACCGCATGGTGATGAGAAAGAGGTGGCGGAGCCAGCGCATTGCGGCAGGGGACCGCGATGACTGCGAGTTAATGGCCGCGACGACGCCGCTGTTGTCCGATCGGACTATGACGCAGCGGCGGGTCAAGTCTGATGCCCACACGTGCATAGCAACGACGACGGCGACGAGCTCTAGCACTCCGATATCGGCGCCTTGAAGCCATTCGGGCCACGTCCCGAGCAGCCAGCGTGAGCCGCAGATGGCCCCGAGACCCACCCCGGCAGAGGCGTCGGTCTCCAGACACACCGCGGCCGCCTGCGTCCAGCGCCGCTCATCGAGCAGCGAACGCCCGTTGAAGTGCTGCAGGAATAGAAGCCAGGCTGACATGTCGAGGCGCGACGCCCTGGTGAGGGAGACGCGGTGGTGCGGCCGACGGACACCGGCGCAGAGATCGGAGAGACGACGAAGGAACGGCCGGCCGAGCGGCACTGCGAGGCACGCAAAGTTCAACAGCCCAATGCAGGTCTGAACTTGCCGTAGGGGTGCTTTCCGCCGCCGGCTGAGGTCGGCCACGGCATCCCTTGCTCGCTCCACTTTATCGGTGGGCAGGCGCAAAACCCGTTCTGCGACGTCCAGCTCCACCCCTAAAAATGTGAGCCGCTGGCAGGGCAGCACCGTCTTGTCGGGATGGAGGGGGACGTTGAGGAGGTGGCACATGGCCGTGAAGCCCCGCAGGGACGACGCACATGCCGACTTCGACGCGCCGATAAAAAGAAAATCGTCCAGCACGGCGACGATGTGGCCGGCGCCGAAGTGGCGCTGCGCTATCCATACCAGCGCGTCGCTGAAAGTCTGAAAAATCTGAGCACTGCTTGCACACCCCATGGGCAGCGCACGGTCGGCGTAGATCAGCCCGCGCCAGCGGAAGCCGAGTAGCGCAGAATCACGTTCGGTCGTGGGCAGTAGGCGGAAGGCTTGCACGATGTCAGATTTAGCCAAAAATGCGTGGTCAAAATGGGAGATGTACTCCACCGCCTCGTCCAAGGAACCGTATTGCACGGCCGTGAACTCGCGTGGTATGTAGTCATTGATAGACTCACCGGCCGGGAAAGATAGGTGATGGATCACGCGGAAGGAGCCCGGCGACTTTTTTGGCACCAGACCGATGGGTGAGATACGCTTAACCGGGGAGGGCCCGTCAGCGGCAAACGGACCGGCGAGGCGGCCGGCCTTCAGCTCCGAAGATACGTAATCGTCAATAATTTGAGGTGCGAGATCACAGGAAGGAAGGTTGTGTGTTGACCCCCCTGTCCCGGTTATGGCAGAGCCAGTGGAAAATCCAGAGCGAAACCCCGACACTAGATAGTGGCGCAACTCTTCATTGTAGCCGGACAGAAGCTGGTGGAGCGTGTCGGCCGGCACCATCGGCGAAAAGGCGACGGCAGATGTACAAGATGGTTTAGCGGGAGCCAGCTGCACCGGCGGCGGCGCTGCCGGGGCCGGCGCGTCTGTGCACCGGCCGGGCAGGTCGAGTGGCACACTGATGTGCCGGGTGACTGCCGCGGCATGTACGGCAGGCGTGAGTGAACCGACAGACGCGGGCCGAGCAGCCCTGTTGGCCATTGTATGCGAAGCATGGCCGAAATCGAGATCCAGCGGCCGCTTGTCGCTGCGGAACCGGAGCGGCTCTGGCCACGCCGCCAACACCCCTGGCTATGGCCATGAGCCATAAGGGGGACGTAGCGGCGGTGGCACCCCAAGGGTGACGAGCGGGGTCTGATTCGCGTGCCCGCCGAAAGGTCTCATCAAAGTCGCGCCATGCGACGCCCAGACCGCTCACGGACAGGGAGCCAACCTGCCGCATGTAAGCGAGAAGGCCCACCGCCGCGTCTGGGTGCGCCTCGGCGTAGATGCCGGCAAACCGCGTAAATGCGATGCTCCACGCACCGAACGAGGTAATTGGGCGTGTCACGCGAGGAGCGGCGCGCAAGGTGCCGTCGACCAGCTGGAAGGAGGGTGGACGCTCGGTAGCGGACCGGTCATAGGAATCGAGTAGTAGAGCTAGATCGACGAATTTGTCCGCCTGGATCCTGCTCCGCAATGCCGGCGCCACCGCCGAGGTATCTTCACACAGCTCTAGCCCCAGCCCGGCGCTTGTACCTGGCAGATGTGGCGGAGAGCCGGTCGGAGGTGTCGCCGATGGTGGTGGTAGAGGCGGCGGCGGCGGTGCCATTGGCGGCGGCAGCGCCGGCGGCGGCGATGGCGAACGTGTAGTGGTCGGCGGCGTATCCTGCTGTGCTGAGGGTCCGGCGGCGTCGCGGCAGCCCGCGAGCCCGGTAGAGCCACAGGCAGCGGTCGGGCCGACGGTCAGCAGCGCGTCCCGCACGACGTCTGCGACGACGGCCCGCAACTGAGCGGCGTCGAGCACGACCGCCTGCCCGGCGACAGCGGGCCGCTGCGTAGCGGCTGGCTCCGACGGCTGTCTGCCGCGGGGCGGCGCGGCTGCTCGCCGCCGGGGCCCGGCGGGGACTGACGCGCCGGACTGGCGCCGCGTGGATTGGCGGCGGGCGCGCGCAGCGCCGTCCGGCTGGCTCACTGCGCGGCCGCGCACCGGCGCGCGCGCCTTCGGCATGGCTCGGTAGTCATGAAACGAGAAACACACGACGGTTAGACGGTCCTGTATTGACATCACAGTGCACACGTGTTATGCCGAACACACCAGTCAGTGGGGCGCCCTCAGATGAGGAGGGTAGAGGCGGCGGTCGCATTTATCAGATCGATGAGGCATGCCCAGCCCTCCCCGGAAGGGTGGACCCCATCGGCGCCCACAAAGCCCATCGCTGGTTGGAAGGGCAGAGGGTCACTGGGAAGTCCTCGCGGTGTTTCCCGCATAGCCGCCGGAGGAGGAGGTTCATCAGCCGCCGCCGACGACGAAACGCCGCCACCGAGACCGGCCCACGCCGGCAGACTGCTCGCGGCGGAATCGGCAGCAGGTGTAACTGACGGGCGCCAGCGGCAAAGATCCCGAGCGCCAGCTCCCGAAAGAGCTGCACGAGCACGCGAGGGCTAAACGGATTGGAGGCGACGTCGTTGCCGCCAGCAACCAGCAGGACCTGCGTGGGACGGAGCTGCCGGACGGTCGCAATTGCCCACTGCCGAAACCCGTCGTCGGCAATACGGGCCCCGCGCCAGCCCGCCGTGCGGACCCGCCCGTGCAGCCCTCTTCGGCGGCCCGCCCAATACGCGAAACTGACGCCGACTACTATTAGCATGACCTGGAACAACAGGGCGAGGACAGCCAAGTCATAGCGTTGTCACGGCTCGGGTAGTTAACACGTAATGTTGCGACATGCGAAGCATGGCCAGTACAAATATATTCGAAAACATACATATGCCGATCCCCGTTACTTTCCGGGACATAATGGAATAACTGAGCCCGTCGGTGCGCCGAGCCGGGTCAAGGGAGCGAAATCCGGGAGCGCTAAGGGCGATGCATGCAACGAATCCCGTGGAGCAGAACCTGCCGTGACGTGCCCCAGGCAGAGACTCCGAACACCTCGCCAGACGAAGTAACAGAGCCGGGACGGATAGCGCTAACCCCGTTTGTATGGGCCAGGAAATCACGGAACAAACGCTGGCCCATTGGTAGTGCACGGGGCCTACCGAGCAGGACCAGGGGAGCGACACGGCGAATAGCCGGGTCAAGCTCACGGATCATCCCAATGAAAGTGACCCACAGGTCACACCGGCGGGAGCGGTGGTCATGTGTTCCGCTGTAGGGTCTCATGCAACACCCCGACGGGTTCCACCTGGCGATGGAAACATAGCTGGCAACAGGCCAGCACGTGCCCCTGGCAGGGACTCCGAACACCGCGCCGGACGGTGGACCGGAGCCAGGACAGACAGCGCATCCCAACCTGCGGGCTGGACACCCCGGCTGCCAGTGCAGCCCACCGGCAGACCGCGCACCGGCGCAACAGCGTCATCACAGACGGCTGCAAACTGCAGGGGTTCGACCACAACATAGAACGGGCCAACAGGCAATGATACACGCCGAGAACATAACGGGAATTGGAGGCTGAAAGTACTCGGCGCCCTTCTGGGAGAATGGCGCACTTTTAACAGCACCGCGCCATTCTCATGGTCTAACGGCGCCCTCCTGACCGTCTCGCGTCCTTAGGTCTCTGTTCACCGTGCATCCCTCGACTATTCGGCGCCCTTCTGGCCTCTCAGCGCCCCTGAACCACATATAGCGTTTTCAATCACTCGGCACCCTTTTACGAGAATGGCGCCCTTTTCATGATCTCAAGGCGCCCTCGTAACCATCTGGCGCCCCCACGTCCCCACCAACGTAGCACTACTGACTGTGCGGCGCCCTTCTGGCCTCTTAGCGCCCCTGGACCACATAGCGTTTTCAATCACTCGGCGCCCTCCTAAGAGAATGGCGCCCTGTTCATCGTCTCACGGCGCCCTCATAAGTCGTAACCGTCTGGCGCCTCCACATTTGGTGCCCCTCCTACTGGATGGCGCCTCTCTACATATTTTTTACGTCCTTCCGGTCAGTTTCCACTTTTAAGCGTGTATTTGCTTAGTCAGACACGTCACTTGAAGCGCCATTCGGCTAGCAATGTTATCAAATTCGGTGTTAATTTAGGCTCCCACATAAAGAATATCTATCGCGCCCCAAAACGGCCTGGCGCCGGGCGCCCCTACCGCTGGGCACCCACAATCATTTTAGGAAAATTACACCCCTGCCCGTATGTGTGGTTAACTTTAAGCTGATCCTCAAGTACCTATGTGTTTGTCTCTTCCTTATTGTCGTTTGATAAATTCCATTTATCCTACATGTATAATTGACCCAAGAAGCCATCGCAATACTAATCAGTGGCGAATCCAAGGGTGGAGGTCACATGGGTCATGACTTAGGGCCTGGGGTCACCACATGCCTGCCAGGAGCACCACAGGCCTGACAGCCGACAGGGGCACCACAGGCCCGCCAGGGGTGCCAAAGGCCTAGCAGGGGCACCACGAGCCTGTCAGTGGCACCACAGGCCTGTCAGGAGCACCATCGGCCTAGCAAAAGCACTACAGGTCTTCCAGGGGCACCACAGACCTGCCAGGGGCACCAGAGGCCTGTCAGGGACACTATCGGCTTCGCAGGGGAACCACCGGCTTCGCAAGGGCACCATGGGCCTGTCAAGGGCACCACAAGCCTGTCGTTGGCAATTTAGGATTGTCAGAGGCACCACAAACCTGTCAAGGGCACCTGCGTTCTAACAGGGGCACCACAAACCTGCCAAGGCCCAGGGACACCACAGGCCTAGCAAGGACACCACAGGCCTAGCAAGGACACCACAGGCCTGTCAGGGGCACCACGGGCCTGTCAGGGCCCATAGGCACCTAAGTCATGTCAGGGCCCACCGTAGGCTTGTCAGGGGGCAGGGTAGGTAGGTACCACAGTCTTTCCAGGGGCACCAGCGGCTAAGCAGGGGCACCAGTCATCACATGACTAACCAAAAATAAAGAAAAAAAAACTGAAAATAGGGCACCACCAAAATCAAGTGGCCGAAATCCGTTGAGGTTTTAATTTTGGGCATAGGTAGGGGCACCACTTCGATTCATGACCCTCCCCTTGGAGTTTTCCCGAATCCGCCCTGGTACTAATACATCAAATTTAAGGGGGGGCACCTTGCTATTGGTGCCCCCCTTGCAGAATTCAAGGGGGGCACGGTGCCCCGGTGCCCCCCCCCCGTTCCGCCGCCTATGGTGTAACACAGTGACATCCTCTGATTGGTTGGTGGTCCCCAAAATGGTCTTTCAGGGGCCCTGGCACCTGGAAAGCATTTATCGGTCAGCCGTGCGGCAACGTAGTACAGTGCGATATATATTAACCGTACCGTAAAGTGAAATCTACCGTACCGGAGACAGGCGTAGTTGGCGCATGCGCCGTACGAGCGCATCGCCTAGCCGCCATTGTCGCTTCAGAGCTCAACCGCAGCGGACACGAGTGGTTTCTGCGAGTGATTTCTTCTGTCGTGAGTACACATTACGGGCGTTATGAGCCACGCTTGAGAGCACAAGCAGCTATAGCCCGGTGAATTCCCTGTGTTGGGTGCGTGTCCAGGCTGCGGCAGTAAATCACAGTATCAGTTACGCCTCGCCTGCCGTATTTTTCCGGATCGTGTCCGTCAATCGGCGGTTGCCGTTGCTTACAAGCGCTATGCTAGATGCTCTGCCCCTGCTCTATGTATGGTATATATTTTTGCCGGCACCGTTCCGGCCCCGTGTCTGTTCCGTGTGGCGTCCGGCCCCAACGTGCTCTATGGTGCTTGTTCTGGGCCGACCCCCATTTCCTGGCCAGATGGTTCCAACATGGCGCATCTTCCCTTCCCTTCCACGGCGGCGGGTATCATCGGTGGGACAGCCGCGGGGCGGCGTGGTTCCACGGGACGGGATTGGTCGGCTCGGGGGCTACGTCATCGCACTTCCCGCGCCGCTCGCGCCACCTATGATCCGGCCGCTTTCCATTGTCTTTCATAGGGTCGGGTAGCTTTCGTTCGCGCAGCGGAAAGGTCCCGCGCGCCGGCATATTAGTCTACGGTCCGGTGGTGTAGTGGTTAGCGTCGTCGCGTTCAGCGCGGGGATTTCGGGTTCGATTCCCGGTTGGACCTAAACTTTTATAGGGCTTGGTTTGAGCCTCGTTAATGGCAAAGTTTTTTCACAGATTCTCTATTGCCGCTTTGGCGCGTGTGGGCGGTTTTCGTCGTACTTTCAGCCTCCAATTCCCGTTATGTTCTCGGCGTGTATCATTGCCTGTTGGCCCGTTCTATGTTGTGGTCGAACCCCTGCAGTTTGCAGCCGTCTGTGATGACGCTGTTGCGCCGGTGCGCGGTCTGCCGGTGGGCTGCACTGGCAGCCGGGGTGTCCAGCCCGCAGGTTGGGATGCGCTGTCTGTCCTGGCTCCGGTCCACCGTCCGGCGCGGTGTTCGGAGTCCCTGCCAGGGGCACGTGCTGGCCTGTTGCCAGCTATGTTTCCATCGCCAGGTGGAACCCGTCGGGGTGTTGCATGAGACCCTACAGCGGAACACATGACCACCGCTCCCGCCGGTGTGACCTGTGGGTCACTTTCATTGGGATGATCCGTGAGCTTGACCCGGCTATTCGCCGTGTCGCTCCCCTGGTCCTGCTCGGTAGGCCCCGTGCACTACCAATGGGCCAGCGTTTGTTCCGTGATTTCCTGGCCCATACAAACGGGGTTAGCGCTATCCGTCCCGGCTCTGTTACTTCGTCTGGCGAGGTGTTCGGAGTCTCTGCCTGGGGCACGTCACGGCAGGTTCTGCTCCACGGGATTCGTTGCATGCATCGCCCTTAGCGCTCCCGGATTTCGCTCCCTTGACCCGGCTCGGCGCACCGACGGGCTCAGTTATTCCATTATGTCCCGGAAAGTAACGGGGATCGGCATATGTATGTTTTCGAATATATTTGTACTGGCCATGCTTCGCATGTCGCAACATTACGTGTTAACTACCCGAGCCGTGACAACGCTATGACTTGGCTGTCCTCGCCCTGTTGTTCCAGGTCATGCTAATAGTAGTCGGCGTCAGTTTCGCGTATTGGGCGGGCCGCCGAAGAGGGCTGCACGGGCGGGTCCGCACGGCGGGCTGGCGCGGGGCCCGTATTGCCGACGACGGGTTTCGGCAGTGGGCAATTGCGACCGTCCGGCAGCTCCGTCCCACGCAGGTCCTGCTGGTTGCTGGCGGCAACGACGTCGCCTCCAATCCGTTTAGCCCTCGCGTGCTCGTGCAGCTCTTTCGGGAGCTGGCGCTCGGGATCTTTGCCGCTGGCGCCCGTCAGTTACACCTGCTGCCGATTCCGCCGCGAGCAGTCTGCCGGCGTGGGCCGGTCTCGGTGGCGGCGTTTCGTCGTCGGCGGCGGCTGATGAACCTCCTCCTCCGGCGGCTATGCGGGAAACACCGCGAGGACTTCCCAGTGACCCTCTGCCCTTCCAACCAGCGATGGGCTTTGTGGGCGCCGATGGGGTCCACCCTTCCGGGGAGGGCTGGGCATGCCTCATCGATCTGATAAATGCGACCGCCGCCTCTACCCTCCTCATCTGAGGGCGCCCCACTGACTGGTGTGTTCGGCATAACACGTGTGCACTGTGATGTCAATACAGGACCGTCTAACCGTCGTGTGTTTCTCGTTTCATGACTACCGAGCCATGCCGAAGGCGCGCGCGCCGGTGCGCGGCCGCGCAGTGAGCCAGCCGGACGGCGCTGCGCGCGCCCGCCGCCAATCCACGCGGCGCCAGTCCGGCGCGTCAGTCCCCGCCGGGCCCCGGCGGCGAGCAGCCGCGCCGCCCCGCGGCAGACAGCCGTCGGAGCCAGCCGCTACGCAGCGGCCCGCTGTCGCCGGGCAGGCGGTCGTGCTCGACGCCGCTCAGTTGCGGGCCGTCGTCGCAGACGTCGTGCGGGACGCGCTGCTGACCGTCGGCCCGACCGCTGCCTGTGGCTCTACCGGGCTCGCGGGCTGCCGCGACGCCGCCGGACCCTCAGCACAGCAGGATACGCCGCCGACCACTACACGTTCGCCATCGCCGCCGCCGGCGCTGCCGCCGCCAATGGCACCGCCGCCGCCGCCTCTACCACCACCATCGGCGACACCTCCGACCGGCTCTCCGCCACATCTGCCAGGTACAAGCGCCGGGCTGGGGCTAGAGCTGTGTGAAGATACCTCGGCGGTGGCGCCGGCATTGCGGAGCAGGATCCAGGCGGACAAATTCGTCGATCTAGCTCTACTACTCGATTCCTATGACCGGTCCGCTACCGAGCGTCCACCCTCCTTCCAGCTGGTCGACGGCACCTTGCGCGCCGCTCCTCGCGTGACACGCCCAATTACCTCGTTCGGTGCGTGGAGCATCGCATTTACGCGGTTTGCCGGCATCTACGCCGAGGCGCACCCAGACGCGGCGGTGGGCCTTCTCGCTTACATGCGGCAGGTTGGCTCCCTGTCCGTGAGCGGTCTGGGCGTCGCATGGCGCGACTTTGATGAGACCTTTCGGCGGGCACGCGAATCAGACCCCGCTCGTCACCCTTGGGGTGCCACCGCCGCTACGTCCCCCTTATGGCTCATGGCCATAGCCAGGGGTGTTGGCGGCGTGGCCAGAGCCGCTCCGGTTCCGCAGCGACAAGCGGCCGCTGGATCTCGATTTCGGCCATGCTTCGCATACAATGGCCAACAGGGCTGCTCGGCCCGCGTCTGTCGGTTCACTCACGCCTGCCGTACATGCCGCGGCAGTCACCCGGCACATCAGTGTGCCACTCGACCTGCCCGGCCGGTGCACAGACGCGCCGGCCCCGGCAGCGCCGCCGCCGGTGCAGCTGGCTCCCGCTAAACCATCTTGTACATCTGCCGTCGCCTTTTCGCCGATGGTGCCGGCCGACACGCTCCACCAGCTTCTGTCCGGCTACAATGAAGAGTTGCGCCACTATCTAGTGTCGGGGTTTCGCTCTGGATTTTCCACTGGCTCTGCCATAACCGGGACAGGGGGGTCAACACACAACCTTCCTTCCTGTGATCTCGCACCTCAAATTATTGACGATTACGTATCTTCGGAGCTGAAGGCCGGCCGCCTCGCCGGTCCGTTTGCCGCTGACGGGCCCTCCCCGGTTAAGCGTATCTCACCCATCGGTCTGGTGCCAAAAAAGTCGCCGGGCTCCTTCCGCGTGATCCATCACCTATCTTTCCCGGCCGGTGAGTCTATCAATGACTACATACCACGCGAGTTCACGGCCGTGCAATACGGTTCCTTGGACGAGGCGGTGGAGTACATCTCCCATTTTGACCACGCATTTTTGGCTAAATCTGACATCGTGCAAGCCTTCCGCCTACTGCCCACGACCGAACGTGATTCTGCGCTACTCGGCTTCCGCTGGCGCGGGCTGATCTACGCCGACCGTGCGCTGCCCATGGGGTGTGCAAGCAGTGCTCAGATTTTTCAGACTTTCAGCGACGCGCTGGTATGGATAGCGCAGCGCCACTTCGGCGCCGGCCACATCGTCGCCGTGCTGGACGATTTTCTTTTTATCGGCGCGTCGAAGTCGGCATGTGCGTCGTCCCTGCGGGGCTTCACGGCCATGTGCCACCTCCTCAACGTCCCCCTCCATCCCGACAAGACGGTGCTGCCCTGCCAGCGGCTCACATTTTTAGGGGTGGAGCTGGACGTCGCAGAACGGGTTTTGCGCCTGCCCACCGATAAAGTGGAGCGAGCAAGGGATGCCGTGGCCGACCTCAGCCGGCGGCGGAAAGCACCCCTACGGCAAGTTCAGACCTGCATTGGGCTGTTGAACTTTGCGTGCCTCGCAGTGCCGCTCGGCCGGCCGTTCCTTCGTCGTCTCTCCGATCTCTGCGCCGGTGTCCGTCGGCCGCACCACCGCGTCTCCCTCACCAGGGCGTCGCGCCTCGACATGTCAGCCTGGCTTCTATTCCTGCAGCACTTCAACGGGCGTTCGCTGCTCGATGAGCGGCGCTGGACGCAGGCGGCCGCGGTGTGTCTGGAGACCGACGCCTCTGCCGGGGTGGGTCTCGGGGCCATCTGCGGCTCACGCTGGCTGCTCGGGACGTGGCCCGAATGGCTTCAAGGCGCCGATATCGGAGTGCTAGAGCTCGTCGCCGTCGTCGTTGCTATGCACGTGTGGGCATCAGACTTGACCCGCCGCTGCGTCATAGTCCGATCGGACAACAGCGGCGTCGTCGCGGCCATTAACTCGCAGTCATCGCGGTCCCCTGCCGCAATGCGCTGGCTCCGCCACCTCTTTCTCATCACCATGCGGTACAATATTCTAGTGCGTGCTAACCATGTCCCCGGTATTCGGAACGTCGCTCCTGACGCTCTCTCCCGGGGTCTCACGCAGGTGTTCCGGGAAGTGCGGCCGTCGGCCGACGCGGAGCCGACATCATGGGACTGGGCCGACTTCGCTATGCTGCAGACGTGACTGCACTGGAGGCAGCGGCCTTGGCACCGGCAACAGCGCGTGCTTACCGCGGGACGTGGGACCGCGTCCGCCATTTTATCGGCATCGGCCCGGCCATTCCCCTCTTCCCAATCGCCACTGCGACGGTGGTCGACTTCATCGGGGCCTGTTTCCGGGCTGGCAGTGGGGCCTCAGCATTAGCCAGCCATTGTTCGGCGATCGCTTACGGCCACCGCATCCGTGGCTTGGCTGATCCCACCGCCGATTTTCGGGTGCGCAAATTGCTCGCCGGGGCTCGGCGGTTGCGTCCATCACGAGACACGCGTACTGCCGTCACCCTCGACGAGCTCGGCCGCCTGTGCGCGGCGGTGAGCCGACTGCCGCTGCCCGCTGTCGACAGGGCCGCCTTTCGTGCCATATGCTCCCTGGCTTTTTTCGGCATGCTGCGGCCCGGAGAAGTCGTGTTGGGTGCCAACCCCGCCCACACCGTCCGTGTGCACCACGTAAGTGTGCACCGGGACGGCTTGTCGCTCACCATTCCCTCATCCAAAACGTCGCCGGTGCCGTTCACTACCGAGCTTGTGGCTCGCCCTGATCTGGCCTGTTGCCCTGTGCGTGCGGTGCAGGAATTTCTGAGCGTGCGCCCGGTCGGCCGCCACAGCGATTTCCTGTTCCTCTCGGGCAGCGGCCGTCCCATTACTACCCGACAGCTCACCCAAGTCGTGAGACAGGCGGGGCGCCTGGCGGGGCTAGATGTTCGGCGACTTGCCGGGCATTGCTTCCGCATAGGCGGCGCTTCATACGGCGCTCAGCTCGGCATGACCGAGTTGCAGCTCAAGGAGGCCGGCCGATGGGCGTCATCGGCCGTTCGGCGGTATCTGCGGCTCCCCGTCTCACTATCGCAGCTGGCCGCTCCCCCCGCTCGTCAGCATCCCCACTGAGGTCGTGCCAGTTCCGCTTCGCACAGACATTTCCGTCCTTCCGACACGGCGGCGTCCGGGACGGGCCCGGCCGCGGAGACGGGTATGTCAGCCGCACAAGCTCAGCCGCGCACAGCGTATCGCGCGAGCTGGCGTCACCCATCCAGTGCTCACCGCCGGGTCCCAGGGTTTTCGTGTGGCGGTTTATGGTTAGCCAAGCGCCGCGTTCCGTTTTTTGTTTTGTGTTTCGTTGTTGGCCTCGTCCCCCGACACGGCGGGTGGCTTGCGTCCCCCGGCCGCGGGTGGCGTAGTCGCCACATTTGCGTGCTTATGTTCTACTGCCGCTGGTTCCTGTGTTATGTTTATTCACATCGACCTGTTTCCTTGAGCGTCCTCCGACACGGCGGGTGGCCTCAGTCATCCGGCCGCGGAGGAACGACAAGGGGCGTGGTCGCGCAATAGTTGCGCGGTCGTCACTGTGTTCATATGTTATCCAAGAGTCGCGCGTTTGCCCGCGCTTCCCCGACACAGCGGGTGCGCTGAGTTCGCCACCCGGCTGCGGGGGGCGTGGTCGCGCCACATGCGTGATGTAAACCGCGTTCCCGACACGGCGGATAGTTCTTGTTCTCCGGCCGCGGGAGCGTGGTCGCACCGTATTCCGTGCCATTGTATCTCAGCATTTTCCTGCGTTGTCAATGTGTGTGGCGCCTTTTAATACACATCAAATCACACAATTCGCGCAGCATCATCAACATAAATAACGTCAAGTCTCCCGTACGTCTTCTCGCGGTTCGGTGGGGGTATGGGCGTGGTCACCTCACCAAAAAACCAGATGGACGTGAATACAGTCCCATTGTCACACTGCATCTGGTTTTGTTGCAAGCGCGAGCTCGACGGATAAATGGTCTTTCAGGGGCCCTGGCACCTGGAAAGCATTTATCGGTCAGCCGTGCGGCAACGTAGTACAGTGCGATATATATTAACCGTACCGTAAAGTGAAATCTACCGTACCGGAGACAGGCGTAGTTGGCGCATGCGCCGTACGAGCGCATCGCCTAGCCGCCATTGTCGCTTCAGAGCTCAACCGCAGCGGACACGAGTGGTTTCTCCCACCACCGGCCCCATGCGCCCTGCCGTTAATTAAGGTGTTAGGTATTGAGTGTTTATTATGCGTCGCCTACCGGATTGTATTCCTGTGTGCCATGTGGTCACCTCACCAAAAAACCAGATGGACGTGAATACAGTCCCATTGTCACACTGCATCTGGTTTTGTTGCAAGCGCGAGCTCGACGGATAAATAACATCAAAGCTGCAATTTTGACACCGTCGTGTTCGGCATGCTCACCCTCGTCGAATGATATGCTTTTTGAATGAGGTCAATTTAGGATATTGACTTCCGTCCAAGGTCAAGTCAGGTCATGACATGATGTCAAGTTACACGTTATTCAATTCGGCAGGTCTTTATGAGTCCATTCGTGTCTTTTCCGTCTAAGATCACTGTCAGCGCCAAAAAAAAAACTATATTCCCCCATTTGCTTATAATGGTCATAGCACCTGACCGACCTAACCTTAGGTGACCCTAAGGAGAAATGCGAAGCTAATAACTTTTGAGAATTAGGGAACTTGATAAGTTCCGTATGTTTCATCTACCTGTGATAGATCTTGCATTGATGGAGTTGCGACGTTACGACGTTTTTCTAGACCGTGCAGAGGTTCACTTATGACGTCACAGGTCAGTAACCTGACCTGACCTGAAAAAGAGTTTGGTGCCACATAATCCGGCTTGCACCAAAGGTCAGGTATGCCAAGTTACAACTCTTCATCACCAGCGCGCTCACCCCTACTTTGCTTTGCAGCCATAGTTTGCCGCGCATTAACGAGTAAAATTTTGGTCTGTCTGAGATTCGAACACAGGACCTTCCGATGTGTCAAAGGCATTGGACCATGTCCTAAAAATGGAAATAAAAATATTTTACTTATCATTTAACATACTTCATATGTGGATGCCCACACTACGAGACCTTGAAAACCGAGTGATGTCATTTTAACACGCAACCCCTATGGCTAGTAGGAAAAGTCACGCCCATGCTACCATATGACTTTGGAGGGGGCTGGGTCAAGACCTAGGGCTAGAACCTTAAAATAAGGTATCTTCGGCTTCCTCTTGTCACGGTCAACACGCCTATCTTTTCCGCGAAGCTCTAGATCCCTACTTTCCTCGTGTCGAAGCCCCAAGAAATAAAAGCATTGCCTCACTTTTCATGTCTCCCGGAATACCGCGCTGGCTCGCCTCTGAGCAGACGGAGCACGCGACGGAACGTTGTGCCCAGGGCAATAGAGTCTAGGCACTAAAGGTTGTGCCTCGCAGCCACCGTCTTTTCTTCCAGCGTGGTTTGAAGGAGCCGGATTTCAGGGCTGGTTTCTTGGCCGGAAAGGGGTCTGAAGGGATGAGGAGAATGCAACATATGTGGATTGCGGGGCAAATCAGTCAGGGATGGAATACTGCTTTCTGATGCAAATTATTTCCCAATCGACTGTTCAGATGGGAGAGAATATTTAGTGTGCTAGGAATATTGTTCGAAATAATGTTATGATTTATTTTCCTCTGACTCGTGTTGGGGATATTAGAGTTGCCTATCAGAAGTCGGTAGTCACGTATAACGGTTCAATTGTACTCAAACAGCCGTTTGTTAACTGGGGCATTCCACGATAGATCGTACCACTTTTTTCCAATTTGACACCCTCATCTCTCGGAATTTGACGAGAATTATCAGGGGCTCTTAATCCACCTGTAAGTTTCAGGCTTATCAGATAAATATTTTTTTTGAGTTATGGTGTATAACATTTTTTGGATCTCGCTTTGCGGCGATCAGTTTGGCGGGCTGTAACTCTAAGACGGATTATTCAAATGCCAAATGTTATTTAACATTGAACTTGCAATGAAACAGAGATAAATATGTATTTTTGAAATTTCCAAAAATACGCTATTTTTGATATATGACACATCGAGTTTTCTTTCATTTGTATTTTTTGGACTTCGGGACCATTTTTTTTTTTAATTTTTATTTCTTTGAAAAAATATTTGGCTCATTGTTAAGAAGTATGCAAAAAACTAGGAAGGTGTTCTGTCTATAAATGTAATTACTTATTTTACGTCACGATAACGGTTTCGAATAGTGATTTCGGGAGGGTAGCTTACAAATGGCGCGGTAAAGCTGCCTAGTGACATCACGGGCTACTGAAATTTCAATTGAAGTCTTGAGTCATCTGAAAAAAAAAAACGAAAAGAGGGTTCATCAAACCCTCTTTCCTATAAGCGCGAGAGTGAAAAAGGCTGTTTGGTTCTGACATTGTTTTGGATGCCAGTGACCATAGCTGTCCGAGATGAAAGTTACAGGACGTATACATGGTGTCCTCCAGAAGTCTCACAACTTGTATATCTGGGAATTTTTTAAGGTCACATGAGGTCAGGTCGGTCACGTGACGTCACTGTTATAAGTCAATGGTTTAATATAAAAACTGTTAATTTGGCGCCGGGAATGATCTAAAACTATCTCACGTACGGCTCTCCAGGAAAACAGTAGTTGGTTTTGCATATTCGGTTATATCTGGTCTTATATCAAGTGCAAATGCGTAGGTATGGGCCCAAATTATCCGTATGCACGTTTGCCACAAGGTTGTGAAATTGCATCGTTGTGTGCCATATACTTTCCGAGATATTAGACAAAAACCTCATTTTCTGCCGTTTGGGGCATTCTGACCGCAGTCTTCCTGGGATCGCTTATGATATCAGTGGAGCCATCTAGACGGGGGGACGCAGAAACACAGAAACATGAATGAATCGAGCGCGTAGTAATCAGCGAATGAACGAGAGACTCTGTAGAGGCTATCGGGGCGGCCGGCCATCCGGGCGGCCGGCGCGTCCTTGGACACTGGCTGACCCTTCGAGTCACGTGAGGTCAAAGGTCGCGGGTGTCGGCGCTGGGTTTTACGCTACACAACCGGGTGGAGAGGGGAGGACCATACTGGTCTGATTGACTCGTAACTTCGTTGGACCTTGTTTACCGCTACGCCGTGAATCCAAGTTATTGGACATTGTATGGGATGATTCTGGAATAGAGCGGGTGCGCCGACTTTGTATAATTGAATATTGATCAATATCATTCAGATTTCTGCATTTTGCTACAATGATTAAAATATCTCGTTTCAAACACATATGCATGCAACAAAATGATCCTGACTGGGGGATTTAAGGGGAAGTATTTGGGATAAATACCTGAAGCCCGAGATCGATTAAAGTGTCGTTTTTGTGTTGTTTTTTGTTGTTTTCGTTTTTGTGTTGTAGAATAAAACGAACCCAAAACAACTTAATTAGAAAAGTTCACTGGCGGATCCAGAAATGCATATATTCCCCCCCCCCGGAAGTTTCTAGAAGTTCCAAAAATCACCGGACTTCCAATCCTTAAGCACTGCTCTCCAGTTTAAAGCAAACTTTTCTTTAAAAAAGACTTATTAGTTTTCGTTTCATTCTCGAAAAACTGCAAATTTTCGTTCATTCCCGGCGCTGCGGGAGGGCATTAGCCCCAAAGCCCTCCTCCTAACTCTGTCAGTGGAAACGATTGCTCTAAACTCCAGAGCAATACGTAAGGAGTCCAATCTGATCAATTTTTCTCCTGATTTCGATTAACTGTTTGCCCCCGCAGCGTCCAAGACCGCCTTTCTGGATTCAGCGGTGCTGACCATGCCAGTTGCGGATGCAACCGGACGTTTTTCTTTTTTGGGGAGGCAATATTGCCGAAATGGCCCCTTTCTTTCATGCACCGACATAGGCGCAATGTTAATTAAAACTCGGGTTTTTTTTGGGGGGGGCAAACGGGCTTTGGGGAGAGGCCATGGTCCCTCCCCCCCCCCCATGGACCCTGGCTGTGTTTTCAGTTCAAATGTATTGAATATTGATTATTGCAGCTTTATGAATTGAACGCTTGAATTCGGCTTAAATGGACCCTCCCACCTTCTAAAAAGTTAATGAAATGGCATATAAGCGATGTCCCGTGGTTCAGAAAGATCAAAAATGAATACCTACCAAACTTCACCGAAAAATATTCACTGTTTTTCAGGATATTATACTTTTACTTTTGTTTACTTTTTGGGAACTCCACTGTCCCTACGACGTCATTTGGAAGCAATAATTTGACATCCTGAAAGTGTGGCAGATGTTGCGCGCAAAGCAGTTAATGCCACCACGTTTTAACGATGATTATGGTATAAGGTTTAAAAATTGCTAGATCTCCGCTGACGTCACAAATTCTAACAGGACATTCCAATGCATTAGCCCTTTAGAATCTGAAAACTGCAAGTTTGAAAATATATAACTCCGAATCAAAGCAAATCTCGATGTTGTGAGTACCGAAGCCGGTAAGTGCAGGCGCGGGACCCCAATTTGACTATCTCAACTCAAAACTTATATTGAGGTGGGCTGGTCACTTAAACCCTCGCCCAAATTGGTGTTTTGCCGGCCGCAAACGTAACGGGGAGAGGGGGGTCGTTGGACCCCCCCCCCCCTTGGCCCTTTGCCGTTCACCCCCTGATTGAGCTAGAGCTTCACGGGAAAAAAACGAGCGTATTGCCCGTGACGAGAGAAATCCGATCTTACTCAATTTTAAAGTAAATAGTTCACTTTTAACATGAGGTTTTGAACTGGAATAGCAGTTTCGTAGCTTGAGCTGAGGCTAGCACAAATCAGGAGCTTTTACGGCCCAACGATCACCCCAGACGAAGATTTTATATTTTACGTTCCGTAAAAAGTGCCTTGCAGAGGAATGCGTGCCTTGCTGAGGAATACAGCCACGTCATCATCAGCCAATCAGCTTGCTCCTTGCAGCCAATGCAGCATGCCTAGGTAGGCTTGAACAGGAACTACGCAATATGATTGGTCAACGCGTAATAAGGTTCCGCATCAAACATAATTTTATATAAAATATAGTTCTTCCTACACAAAAATATGAAAAATAATCCTTTTTATACAAAGGTCTTGTTTTATTTTCTGATCATTTCAGGCACAAAAAAAAACAGAAATCCATTGCAAAAGAACTAATTTGAGGAAAGTGAACTAACTATTCCCTTTAAGATCCTAGGTCATCAGTTGACATTGCAGGTCAGGCCAATGACCCAAAAGTCGGGAAAATCGGGACCTGTCAGAACTCAGAACTCTGTAGTGTGAGGCTGCCATGGGGTTTTCCGCGGTGCTGATCACGAATTTCAT